TCTAATATTTGCTTGCGGTATTGTAGAAAGATATTTGCACTATGTGAGAAAAGAATAAGCGTGTAGCAGTTTTGGAATAATGATCTTCAGATATTTCTAAATTTCTTAAATAATGTTTGAGGCTGTATTTATATTTTGCATTTTTGTTAATTCTTTTCTGAGTAGTTTATTCTTTTTAATGTTACTGTGAGTAGATTTGTTTTATTAAATTTAATTTTCAGATTATTCATGGCAACTATGTAGAAGTAAAATTGATATTTGTATGTAGCATCTTGCTGAACTCATTTGTTCTAATGGTTTTGTTTTTAGTGGATTGCATGAGTTTATTTTTGTTTTAAATTTATAAAAGAATGTCTGAATAGAGCTAGATTTGCTTCATCCTTTCCAATTTGGATGTATGCCTTTTATTTCATTTTTCTTGCCTACTTGCCCTGGCTACAATCTCTAGTACAGAGTTTGATAGAAGTGTTGAGAGCAAACATCCTTGTCTTATTTTTAATCTTAGGAGATTTTTCATCTCTTTCAGCATATTGTATGTTAGCTGTGGCTTTTTTTGGTAGATGCTGAGACTGAGAAAATTCCCTTCTCTACCTAGTATATTGAGTGTTTTTATTAAGAAAAGAGGTTTTGTTACTTTTTGTCAAGTGTTTTTGTATATGTAGTGAGATGATTATATGATAATTTGGAATTCTTTTGCTTGATGAAAACCCCCAATTCAGACAGGCTTAAAATAAAAAGGGGCATTTATTGGCTCACTTAACTGAAAAGTCCCAAAGAGTATCTTACATAACATAACACACAACACAGTGTAATTGAGGGGCTCAATCATGTCATCCAGATTTGCCCTCTTTACCCTCTGTCCCTCAAATCCCTTAATTCCCTTTTCCCTTTATGTGCAAATCATGTTTAGGTCTCAAGTGATGACAAAATGACTGCCAGCAGCTCCAGGCAAACATCCTTAAGATAAAAGTAAAAAAGAGACAGTCTCTAGATCTTTCTGTCTTTCCCCAGTCCAAGTAAATTTCTGGTTGCCCATTCTGGAAGTGTCCTTGAGGACTGGTTGGAGTTGGTCAGCCCTACCCCAAACTACATGGATGAAGTGTGGAGAAGGAGGTTTTTAGCAATAGAAATATACTGGATGGATGTTGAATTGCCAAAAGTAAATGTCATGTATACTTTCTATAGTGAAACAATCCAGAATAATAAAAAGTGAATGAAATCAGTATTTAAATATTCTTATTTTTCCTTTATGCCATATCTGGCAGTGGTAGTTGATATGATCCAAACTCTTTCTGCTCATTGGTGTTTCTTTCTGCTTATTGGTGTTTCTTTCTGCTCATTGATGTTTCTTTCTGCTCATGATGTCTTTCTGCTCATTGATGATCTAATCCTTCCAAGCAGGAGGTTTGACTGATACCACATTCCATCTTTTATTTTGGTACTGGAGATTGAAGCCAGGGGTGCTTAACCACTGAGCCACATCCCTAACCCTTTTTACATATTACTTAGAGACAGAATCTTACCAAATTGTTTAGGACCTTGCTAAATTGCTGAGGCTGGCTTTGACTTTGAGATCCTCCTGCCTCAGCCTCCTGAGGGATTACAGGCATGCCAGCATGCCCAGCCACATTCCATCTTTTAATAGAGGACAGCAAAAAAGAGTGGGAATTGAATAAGATTAGTCCAGTGATAATCCAAGGGAGCAGGGACTGGATCTGGTTTTCATCTGCCCATTTATCACCTTAATATTTTATCATTTTAAAGGTAACTGCAGATGAATTTAAAATAAGAAGTAGATTAATGTCCTCTTTATCATCCATGCCCTTTTTTCTCCTCTTTTGTCATTGCTGGGCTGTATTCCAGTTTGTCAGTATAGCACATTACGAAAAAGCTGTCTCAGTAGTAATCTGTACTCTCCATCACTCTACATTTAAATCTTGTCTAATGAGAATGAGACTTTTGTGGTCTCTTTATGTGCCTTTTGAAACTCCAGAAACTTTATGCAGAAAAGTGTTTTCTTGGTCACAGTTTCTGTAGTTCCAACCTACAGAATAAAATATATTGAACTTCCCCTTGTATAATTATAACTTGCCCTAGATAAATACAGAACCTGTTATAAGGAAGGTCTTGTTTCAGTTACTATTATAGTTTACTAGCTACTTTAAAAACTTACTGCAGCTGTGTTTTATGTAGGAGGGGAGGCCATTTAGCATTCTTCAGGTTTGAGTTTAATACATTTTTTTTTCATTTTTATGATACCTTTCCCCTCACATTTCAACAACTGAAATACTAATGCATCTCATGATCAGTATTGTCATTGTTTAATTGGCAGGGCTTTTTTTCTTTCATATTACGTGAAATAATGGTATATCTTAAAATTGGTAATGTGATTGTTAATTTTATTTGTCTATTTGACTGGACCACAGGTGCCCAGACATTGAGATGAACATTTGATTTAATAGACTTAAGTAAAATAGATTGCCCTTTAAAGTTGATGGGCCTCATCCAGTTAGTTGCAGACTAGAACAAATAAAAAAGGAAACTCCTTCTGCCCATTTGCCTTGAACTGGGACCTTGGACTTCATTGGAACCAAAACATTGGCTCTTCTGGGTCTCTAGCTTGCTGAAGGTCTTAACCCAAATGTTTAGGTCTTAACCCAAATGTTTCAGGACTTAACCCAAAGTTGTTTATGAGCCAATATTTCATAATAAATCTGTTTATATGTATTTACATATACATCCTCTGGAAAATGCTAATTCAGAGAAAGTTTGATAAAATATAGTAGTTGAGGGGCTGAAAGTGTAGTTCATTGGTAAAGTACTTGCCTAGCATGAGGTGGCTGTGACTTCAATTCCCAGCACTGAAAACAAAACAAACATAAAATAGTAATTGAGTATGCTCTGAAAGCCTTCTACACAAAAGGTGTGGTAGATTTGGAGAGCATTCACACCAGCCAAAGACATGAGAATTGAGCTGTAAATGGAAAAGATACTCTACAGATGCTCTGGTTCTATACCAGGGTAGCTTTCTGCGAATGGGGAGCCAAGGTCAGGGAGCTTTTGTGCCAGAAGGGGCAGTGTAGACAGTTTTCTTCCTGGCTCTGCAGTATACTATACTGGGTAACCTGTTAGATTTCTTTATAAATGAGCTGGTTGGATTAGGTGATTTAGAAGATCTCTACCATTTAACAGGTTCTCAGAAATTGGTTCTTTTTCAGTGAGGGGAGGGTAGTCTAAGGCATAAATAATCAGACTCTCTTGCACAGAGCTAAAACATCAATAATATCTGATTCCAGGGCAGCTAGCTCTCTGCATAAGTACATAATCTGATGATGGATTGGGTTTCCTAGGTTGCATTGTCTGTGCCAAAATGGTAGCCTTTAGGTTTAAGTTTCTGTTGAATTTGAAGCCAAGTTAAAGAAGCAGCATTTTCTGAAATAAAAATGTACATATTCATCCCAAAAGGTTTGCAAGAACTGACTTAGATCAGTATGGAAATTTTAAGGCCAAATGGTTTTTGACATCCAGTAAAGGTTCTAGATCCCTGGGAATGAAGTCCTCAATATAAAATGTGACAAGAAAGGTAAATAATCTTTAGAAAAGACTATTTATCTTTTGGGAGAAAGGGTTGGGTGGTAGGATATTTCAGTCCAGATATTATGGGAGAGTAGATGTTGAAAATTAATGTTTATTTAGTTTTGATTAAGGAAGTGAGAGACATGGTACCTGGCATACCTGAGTATCCTTGTTCCTAGAAAAGCAGACTCTGATGAAGGAAGTAGTGAATGAAACATCTTACCTGCCAATCTGACTCTTCCACTTGGACTTAGTACTGACCAATCAGCCTTCCAATCAGAATTATAGCTTCCTTATATCATAATCTTAGGCCAGGGATGCTCCAGGAAGTATGGTAATCCCCTGTTTATAATATAATAAACAGATTTCATTTGGACCTCAGCTGGTGTCTTTCCCATTGGGTTCAAATGATGCAATTCCCAAGTGTCCATCAGATGACTATACCTGTGCAGGCCCTGGGGCTTTTCTCTGGCTGCCACAGCCACAGCACAGTCCCATGAGAGAAGTATATCCCTAAAGGGCTATGGCATTTCAGAGAGAGGAAAAATATCTATGCCCAAGCAAAGAGACCTGAAAGACTTATGCAGAGATAGGAATGACATTTTTATGAAGAACCATTTCAGAATTCACAAATAAATTTTACTTGATTGGATATAAGGTGTGGAAGAGGACAAGATGAAATGTCCCTAAATTCTTCAAAATTGACATGATTGGAGTTAAAACTTGAATATTTTAAGATCAGTCTGTTTTGATGGATCAATACTAAATAGTTAAGTTCAATGAAGTTACTTTTTCTAATTTTAAGACTTAAGGCAGGCTTACTGGTCCGCATACTGTATGATCTTTGTTGAAAGGGCATCCTTATCTTCCTTGTCTTATTTCTAAGTTTCAGATGTTTTTTTTCTTAATCAGAAGAGAAGAGAGTGATAACAATAATGTTCAGGGCACAATAATATTTGTTTTAGAAAAGTTAAAAGTCATCTACTAAGGGGTTAGTGGTGTTGCTGTATGGGAGAGCACTTGCCTGGCATGCACAAGGCCTTGGTTTCTATCTTCAGCACTAGGGGAAAAAAAAAAGTTCAACATTACTTGTGGTGTATTATATTAGGGAAACAAAAAGAATAAAACTCACTTATAAATCCTATTACCCAGAAAATCATCATTGTACTTTTTTACTGACTTTCCAAACTTCTGTGCCTCATGTGACTAAAAATATGTCTAGAGCAGGGGTCCTTTGTTTTTAATTTTGCAAAAATAAACCAAACATACAGGTCTTTCCTAATCTTCTCTTAGAATTTCCCTTGCAATAAAAGGCTCTTTTCCACTGAGACCTGGTATTTTATGTTAGGCCCCACTTTCTGTGTCAGATAGGCACATCACATTGCAGGCATTAATTACCATAGTACTCTTGCTTATGCTTTCAGGTTGGCAGCCTCGATGGTTCCTTCTCTGTGGGGGAATATTATCCTATTATGATTCTCCTGAAGATGCCTGGAAAGGTTGCAAAGGGAGTATCCAAATGGCAGTCTGTGAAATTCAAGGTGAGAAATAAGTGGCTTGCTAGTTTTGTTTTGCTGTCTCCCAGAAAAAAATACAGCATTAACTTTTGCATTCCTTTCTCTGCTGCTCCTGCAGTAAAGACCAAGCTATGTAGTATTATGTCCTAGAGGAAAGGCTTGTAAATGCAACTTAAAATTGTAGGCAGCTCTTGCAAGGAAATTGGTTAAGAGGTGGTCACAATAAATGAGAACAAAGAAATCAGCTAGCAATCATTCTTTAGTCACCTGCCCACCTTGGGCCAATAGCTATTTGCAAAGCTTGCTTAAGTCATTTTCCTGAAGTATCAAACATTTCTGTGTTTAAATTAGGATGGATAAACACATACATGTGCATGCATGCACACCCATGCCCAGTCTATGCTTAGCACTCAAAACAAGCAAATATCTTATAGACCTGCATATAGTCTTTACTTCTTGGTTTTGGAATCTTGAGACATGATGAGCACATGTAGCTCAAAAGAAAAACCGATAAGAATTGGGGAGGAAGGCTGGAGAATATGGTTTGTATTTCTTCTTCTAAAAGGTTCTGCAGGAATCGTGCGTGTGTGTGTGTGTGTGTGTGTGTGTGTGTGTGAGAGAGAGAGAGAGAGAGAGAGAGATATTGAGGATTGAACCCAGTGGTATGGGCTCTGTCGTGGAGCTACATCCCCAGCCCTTTTTATTTTGAGATAGGACTTCACTAAGTTGCCCAGACTGGCCCTGAACTTGGTATCTTCCTGCATCAGCCTCCCAAGTAGCTGGGACTACAAAGTGTGCCACCATACCCAGCCTCTAGAGGAAGTCTTATAACGTTTTTTTCATTGGTCTGACTTGTCAAGAGAAGTAGAAGACAAAAAAAAATTCTGTTCTTGATTGCTTCTCAATAAATCCAAGGATATAAAGAACATACCCTTGCTCATTGGCATGTTTATTAATTTGTTTTATGTGACTTTTAACAAAATGCCCAAGACTGGGAATATATAAAGAAAAGAGATTTATTTAGCTAACAGTTTTGGGGACTGAAAGTCCAAAAAGTGTCATCCTGGTATGGCGAGGGCTCCCTGAACTGCATCACATTGTGGTAGGATCTTGTACAAGAGGGAGAGATCAAATGATGAGATGGGAAGCCAGAGAGATTGGGGAGGAGCCGGTTTTGTACTTTTATAACAGCCCTCCTACAGTTACTTACCAGGGTATCATGAGAAGTAGATTAATTTTTTCTGAGGGTAGTTCTCCCAGTGACTTTTGATTAGGCTCCACTTCTCACAGGTTCTGCCATTTCTTAATATCATCATACTGGGGACTCGGGTTCCAATACATGAACCCTTAGGAGACAAAACACATCTGAACTCTAGCATTTGAGTCTTTTGGGCCCAAAGTAACGTACTTTATATATATATATATAAACCAAAAGGAAGATTTGTTCTCTAGTCTGATAAATGATCAATTTAACCCCAAAATTAAAATAGATGATTCAAAAATTTAAAAAAAGTTGGATAGGGTAGAGGCTACCTAGACAGTTGTCCTCTCTAGGTCTCTGACTTTCTTCTGCCTTACTCCCAGTTCATTCTGTAGATAATACCCGCATGGACCTGATAATACCTGGGGAACAGTATTTCTACTTGAAGGCCAGAAGTGTAGCTGAGAGACAGCGGTGGCTGGTGGCCCTGGGGTCAGCCAAGGCTTGCCTGACAGACAGTAGGACCCAGAAGGAGAAAGGCAAGTATTGATTGTTCTTTAGTGTGGGAACCTTGGGAATCACCCACTGGCATCTCTGGGTTCCTTTTATTATTTATCTTGCCTCTGACCACATAGGCACCTTTTTGTATCATTTAAATGCTGTGTATCTCAATGGAACTTAAATCAGAGTCCATATCTAACTCTTCTTTCTTAGCATGTGAAAGAGTGCTGGCTTTCAAGTCAGACAGAACTACATTGAAATGATGGCTTTGTAGTGTTTCTTTTTCTTTCTGTGTGTGTGTGTGTGCAGGGGCTGTGGGGAGGCAGTACCAGTGATTGAACTCAGGGGCACTTGATACTGAGCCACATCCCCAGCCCTATTTTGTATTTTATTAGAGACGGGGTCTCTGAGTTGCTTAACACCTCACTTTTGCTGAGGGGGCTTTGAACTTTGGATCCTCCTGCCTCAGCCTCCTGGGCCACTGGGATTACTGGAGTGTGCTGGCTTTTTAGTCTGTTGACTATGTAACTTTGGCATGATCACTTAACCTTTCTGAGCCTCAGTTACCTTACTGTTTAAAAAGAGGTCATTACCGGTGCTGGAGTTGTGGCTCAGCGGCAGAGCTCTTGCCTTGCATGTGTGAGGCACTGAGTTCCATCCTGAGCACCACATAAAAATAAATAAAAAATAAAGGTATTGTGTCTACCTACAACTAATTTTTTTTTTTTTAAAAGAGGTCATACCTACCTTAATCTGTGAGGATTCATGATATGAAATGAGATAGGGTCCAACCAGGCACAAAGTTGACCTTCAGTGAAGAGTAGCTGAGCCAGAGAAGCTTTGGCTTAGGGTATTTTCTAATAGTAATGCTCTGCTGTCTCCTACCTCTCCCTGAGGTGGCATGGATACTTAATTGTGAGATTACTGTTACTCATACTCATTAACTTGACACGATTGGGCCTCCTGAGAACCATGGGACAACTTTCTCTTTGTATAGGGGCAGGAGTATCAGGGCTTACTGCATAAGTCTGGCTGCTGCTTTTCCATCCCTGTAGTCATGTATGTACAACTGAAGAGAGTGACTTGCAGGGAGAGGATGGAAAGAAGTGTATCAGGCAATGTTTCTGATGACAGTAGCAGCAAATGTGTCTCACTCTTCATGTAGACCTAGTAAAATTCTCTCTTTATTGGTTATTTTTAATGCTAATTTATAGAGACTGTCAACTTTGACTCAGCATGTGGTAATGTGCAGCATTTTCATGGAGAGGGAAGAGAGGTGGTAGTAATTTTATCTGAGCCCTCAGTGCCAGGGTGTCTGGAGTGCCTTGCTGATAATGGCTGATTGTGATTAATGTTGACAGGACAGGTGAACCAGTCCTCAGCCAGAATAATAAGCAGTGTTCTTGGTGGTAATTGGACATTACAAAACATTGTCTCCCAGATATGAGCAGAGCGGTGCAATAGCAGGTAGACTGCTCTGACCCCATCTTACAGAGAAGGAGAACACCAACTAGATGACAGAACTGAGACCAAAACTCTGAACAGTGACTCTGCTTCCTGTACAGACCTGGGTAGGTCAGGCAGAATGTTTTCCCCTCTATGTGCCGGTGATTATTTAATGTGACTGGAGTAATAATGTATATTACTTTGAAAGGCTGGATGTGTCCTTTTTCTGTTTTTCTTGCTCCTCAATCTTTACCTATCACATTGTAATTCATACCATATACCTCTGACTTAGGATACAGATTATATATTCCACTTCTGTGCGGTATACTAACTAGGAAATTGGTTATTCATTCTGATAACTACATTATCATTATTTCATTATTTAGAATTTGCTGAGAATACTGAAAACTTGAAAACAAAAATGTCGGAACTAAGACTCTACTGTGACCTCCTTGTTCAGCAAGTAGATAAAACAAAAGAAGTGACCACAACTGGTGTTTCTAATTCTGAGGTAAAATATTATATTAGTAATATTATTGATAGTATATATACATGAAAAATAGCACCACTTTGCTTACAGGTGATATTTATTTTCATGTAATTCCTGACTATCTTGATATTTACTATTTTAGAAGAAAAAGCATAATTCACCATAGAAATGTGTATTGTAGCATATGGAACCATACAGTTTTTCTTACTGGAATTTATTCAGGATTAATTAATTGATAACATTTGGAACTTTACCTTCAGTACTGACATACCAAAGTGTGTTTCTCCCTAGTTTACATCACTTTGTTGTTGTTTTGTCTTTTGCTACTAGGGATTGAACTCAGGGGTCCTCTATCACTCAGCCACACCCTTGGTCCTTTTTATTATTTTAAGACAGGGTCTTGCTGAGTGCTCAGACTGGCCTCGGACTTGACAATCCTTCTGCCTCAACCTCCCATGTGGCTGGGATTACAGGCATTTGCCACCATGCCCTGCCCCACTTTGCATCCTTTATAAAAATAGAATCTTACATGTCTTGCAGAACCATTTTGTAGTTGTGGCTACTAAGATGTTACAATAGTGTCTGTCAGCAGTGCGTATATGTCATCTTTGGTGACAGTGACAGGATTTTACATATCACAGTAAATATTGTGATTTGGAATAGACCAGTGCTTTCATAGATGGAGACAGAGTTTCTCTCCAACATTAGCGAGAATTGAATTTTGTAACATTTATTAATAAAGTTGTCACTCTCCCTGAACCATATTAAGAATTTCTCTTGTGTTAAACTATTAAAATGCTTACATAAACTGGAGAGCTTCTCTGCTTGCCCTCAAGTTATAATCTGACAACTGATGTCTACAACATGAAGAATCTGCAGGTTATTTAGTGGTTTTAATTCATTTTTTTTTAAGGTAGTAGAACACCATGCTACTAGTAATAAATGCTTTGAGGTCTTTCTGATAAAGGTGATTTAACTCACTTTGATTCACTTCCTTTTGGTCTCTCTCATTCATTAATCAGCTCCCTGTTGTGTATAGATGAATGGGGAAAGTGAGGACCAAAAACCATTTTAGTCCTGTTCTTGTAAAGTTTGTGATTTAGAGCAGTGATTGTCAACTCAGAGCAGCTGTGTTTCCGAGGAAATATTTGGTAATGTCTAGAGACATTTTTAGTTGTCATGAGTACCACTGGCATCTAGTGGGTAGACACCAAGGATTCTGTTTAACATCTTTAAATGGGCAGGAGGGCTATGCTCTGCCCTTGCATACACAGGCCCCCCCAAATTAGCCAGCCCATAATATCATTGGTGCTGAGTAGAGAAGCCTTGGTTTACAGAGAAGGGAAAATGTGAATGTAGCAATCTTTAATTCCAGAAAGAAAGTGCTTATAGAAATGCTGTGGGAACTTGTTTATGAACAGTATCGTCCGTTAACCAAGAGTACCTGGGAGCTTATTAGACATACAAAGGTGAGAAAAATATATAGAGACCACTAAGATGTGGTCTTCTAATTCTCCAGTTAGAGTGTGTCCTCATTTTCCAGAACAACCTACTAATATCAATATCCAGAAGAAAAATGCCCTGAATAAATAAACTGTACACTGAACAAATAAAGTAGCTCAGAAGAAAAAATGTATTAGGTTTTTAAAGGAATTCTAATTGCTGAAACCTTGTGGATTCTTCCATACTGAAAGCAGGTGTTGTGTGTTTTCCTGGAAGCTCCACAGAAGTTCTGTGCTCAACAGCTGGCACGGTGCTCTTCTAATGTTACTGAGCAGAAAGAAGTTATTGCCTTTAGATGGAACAGTGGATGAGTGTGAAGGGTCAGATTAGAACATGAGGCCTGTGCATGGTAAATAGATAAATTGGGATAGCTCAAAATATTTTTAAAATAACTGATATACATATTTGTTCAGCAAAATAGGTGGGTGCATTATTATTATTTTGTGGATAAAAACCTGTAAAGGCATAACACAATGGGACTTTGTCTTTCTTGGCAAGACAAAAGAGTCTTTCACTTTGGTCATTTTGTAGGAGGGAATTGATGTGGGAACTCTGCTGAAATCAACCTGTAATACTTTTCTGAAGACCTTGGAAGAATGCATGCAGATCGCAAATGCAGCCTTCACCTCTGAACTTCTTTATCGCACTCCTCCAGGATCACCGCAACTGGCCATGCTCAAATCCAGCAAGGTAAAAGTCTAGTTCAGTTTGGCTACAACAGAGTACAATGAAAAGTTGTAAAGTAACATCCTTTGGTGAATGAAAAAGACTTTTTAGAGGACTATTTTATTTCCACTTTTTTATCTTCTCAGTCTCCCATATCTAGAAGTTATTTTGGCAGTCTGACCACCTGTGCACAGATATCTCTAATCTAGTCCTTTCTCTCCAGTGCCCATGTAAATGAGTCTTGCCTAGAATTTTGGTGGCCTTCTTACTATCTTTAGCCTGGCTCTTCCAGTCAGCTGACAGGATTTCTATTAATGCAGTATAAATTGGGCTGCTTTACCTAAACCTTTCAGTGACTCCCTCATTGCCTTTGGATTAAAGATAAAACTTCCTAGCCCCTTGCCACATCACCAGCCTCTTTTCCTAACATTTCCTGGCATGAATATATTGTCTGTCATCACCCTCACCCCTTTACGCTGCCAAGAATGCCCATCTTGGCTGTTTCCCATAGTAGCTCCTATTCATTTTCCTGGAATTCCTGGGTTGTGCTAAGGATTCCTCCTTTCTCACATCTCCCTATTTTAGTGAAGCTAGCTTAAAAAGGACAGGAACTGCATGGTGTTTACCTTCCTTCCTTCAATGTTGTAGCAATACTTTGCCAGAGTTTGCTGTCTATTAACATTTAATTAGCATAACTAAAATTTCAAAGAAAGCCATTCACCAGGACTTTGGCTCTGATAATTAGGACTTTGAAAAAGGCCACCTTTATTTTCCTTAGAAATTTGGGTACCCCTGTTGGATTTAAAAGTTGGGCTAGTTGGGATCTATGACTCCATTTTAAGAAGACCTAAAATTATTTCTGATGGGGTGGGGCAGTAATATATTATGGTTATATTTACCACTTTCATGTGTTGTAGAATTATAAATAATGGGGCTGGGGATGTGGCTCAAGCGGTAATGCTCTTGCCTGGCATGCGCGGGGCGCTGGGTTCGATCCTCAGCACCACATAAAAAATAAAATAAAGATGTGTCCACCAAAAACTGAAAAATAAATATTAAAAAAAATTCTCTCTCTCTCTCTCTCTCTCTCTCTCTCTCTCTCTCTCTTCTCTCTCTCTCTTTAAAAAAAAAAGAATAATAAATAGTGTCTCATTGGAAGTAAACTTTATTTCTTTTCTTCTTTTAAAGATGAAACATCCGGTTGTACCAATTCATAACTCATTGGAAAGGTATATAACATTTTTTTCTTCTTTCAAAAAAACTACAGCTATTGTTATTCTTTGTTTAAAAAAAGTGAATGATATTTTTATTTTTATGGTGGTTTTTCTTGTAATTTGAGATGTACCAGAAGGAAACAATATCTGACTTTCCTTTTTTGAGTGAGCCTGAAGTAGTGCAGACCTTCAGCACTAAAGGAAAGTGTTGGTATTTGCTTTAGGATATGGATCTCACCCATCATATCCTGTAACTTTTTAATCTTTCTGGAATTACCAAAGGATGGATCTTCTTTTATAGAGGAGTTAAATATTGACTTAAGTGTACTTTTATCCAGAAACACTGAGTGTTATTCTGTGTTGTTTAGAAATAAAAAACCTTGAGTAACTGTATAGGTTGAAAACTTCACTTAGTACCAAAATCTAAACTATTTCTGTTCTTCTAAATACTCTTTCAATTAAAAAAAAATTTTTTTTTTTAAAGTAAATGCTGAGCTGTAGATGTGGCTCAGCAGTACAGCACTCAACTTGTCTAGCATGCATGAGAACTTGGGTTCATCCTCAGCACAACAAAAAGGTACACATTTACATAGTCACTGGGTTTCTATTTACTTATGTTGTATAGGCATTCCCATGTATTGACACAATCGAGATATTTATCCTTCCAAATTATTGCTTAATAGTGAATCATTATTTACTATTGTTTGCTTCTTTATTACAAGGATTATTCTCAATTTGGTTGTTTCCGTTTTTCTAAATTTTTCTGCTAGAAACATCTACTACCATATTTTGAATTCTAGATTGAAATAGTGGTTTTTAGAAAATAATAAATGCTTTTCCTAGAGTTATCATATAGCTTGGATCCTTCTCCCCTTATTTTTATTGGAAGAAAATATTTTTGTCCTAATTTCTAATTCGGCTAAGTATAATTCCCTATAATAAGATGTTGTGTTGTGCCTTTAACAGAATCAGTTATGTCATTTGACTGTTGAATAGGTAATTCTAAAATGTGACAGATCCCTCAAGATGTGTTTGGGTTCTCCTTGGATTTTGTTTTTTTTCTGAGATATAGGTTGCAGGGAGACCCCAGCATATGGCTTCTAGACAATAACTGCTAAGCAAACATTTAGAAGTGGCTAGTGGTGTTGAGAAAAAGCCTCCCAGCAGGGAGTTGAAGAAGGTCAAAAAGTGTTCAATGTGGCACCTGGAGAAAGCTGAATGGAAACCAGAGGGCTGTCAATGACTATTTCCTAATGCTGGTAGGGATCAGAAAGGGTCACTTCAGGGTACAAGAAGAACCATTAGACAGGTCTGCTCCCACCACATATACTTGTCTTGATGTCTGTGGGAGGCTAAGAGGCTTGGCTTAGTTTAACAATTGTTTAAATCAATGTTTAAACTTTAATGATTGTGAACCCTTCCCTCATCCCTCAGAGTTAGCATCTACCTGGCAACCTATTACTAAATCACTACACTTTTTATTTTTTTTTCTTTATAAAAAAAATTTTAGGCAAATGGAACTGAACAGTTGTGAAAATGGATCTTTAAATATGGAAATAAATGGTGATGAAGATATCCTAATGAAAAATAAGAGCTCCTTGTATTCAAAATCTTCAGAGATAGACTGCAGCATATCAAGTGAAGAAAATACTGAGGATAATATAACAGGTAAAAAACAAAGTCTGAAAAAACATTGAACAATAGAATATTTGATGTTTTGATTTATACCCATGATGTGACACTTGATAGGGATTAGCCTCAAGACAGTATGCTAGGTATTTCCTAAAGAGCATGTTAGCTCAGTAAGACAGGTCACTTAACTGAACTACATTCTGTCATCCCATCTGAGCAGTGTTGATAAGAACATGAAGAGGAAGTTTCCTGCCTACTGTTCTTGGCTGGGATGTTCATAAACTTCCTTGAGCAGTTTTAGACAGTATGAGTACTTCACTGACACTTCGTAGTATATCTCAAAGCCTTTTGAACTTAGACTGTAAGGTCAGACTCAAGAGTATATGAAATTAGGGCAGTTGAGTTTTTCATTCTCCTGGTTTCTGGTGGGGCTGAGGTTGTCAGAATTCACCAAACACCAGCCTTCTTTTTCTTCTTAAGGCTAAATTTAAGGCACTATAGTTGCTTTTAAATTAGCTAATTTCAATGGCACTAATCACTAAAACTCACTCTTCAGAGCAAAGATAACCATTTTAAAGCCCTTAACTGTTATAAGTGCTTACTAATAATTCAAAACTGCAATTTTAAAAAATACTTCTTCCCAATCTGTCCTGAAATAAGAGACCAAATTTTTTTAGATGAGAGAAAAGAAAAAGATGTTAATCCTAGAAAATCTTTTTTAATTTTTTTTTTAGTTGCAGATTAACACAATACCTTTATTTTATTTATTTATTTATTTTTATGTGATGCTGAGGATCAAGCCCAGTGTCTCACACGTGCTAGGCGAGCACTCTACTGCTGAGCTACAGTTCCAGCCCCAAATCCTAGAAAATCTTAGTTGTTAATATAAGAAAAGTAATATATACAACATTGAAGTCTTATCTCTTGAGTAAATGACAGAAAAAAATTTTATCAAAACATATTGTCGTATATTTTACCCAATAATTTTACTTCTAGGGATTTCTCTTTAAGAGTTAGCTTTCTGCAGGCCTCTAATCACATTTACATCAACCAGTCAATACATAAGCATGTTTTAAGTGTATTTCTGTTTAATGTTTGTTTAATCAACCATACATATTGTTGATTCATTAAGATTGAACTCGCAACCAACAGCTCTATGAGTCATGCCTGAATGAAGTTTATCTGAAACACGTATTTTATCCATAAGCCACATCATAGCTTATGTACACTATGCTTATGTATATGAGACAGTAGTGTATTTGGGGGGTCCTTTAAACAGCAAAATCAACAACAAATACCCTAACATGTAAAAAATGTGGCACTAAATAAGGATATTTATTTATAATATGAGAACTGAAATAAGAAGGCAAAGCATCACCTTGTTCCACCTCAGCTAGGAATGTGCCTATCAAGTGACAAGTGTTTCACCATTCTGCATATGTCCTCAAAATGGAAAAGTGCTACAAATATTGATTTGGGGTTTACAAATGGTTTTATAAGTAGGTTAAATTCACAAATACAGAATATGCAGATTGACTGAGGATTTTCTATACATATAATAGTAAGATTTTAGAAATCACCAAAATGTCCTTCACATGGTCATTAAAATCAGGTTTTTGAAGAATATTGAATAAGGAAATATTCATGAAACACTGTTCATCAAAAATAAGGATACAAATCAATTTTTAATTCTAATTTGGTATGTTTGTACATTTATGTTTATGTTGTAAATATTTCACAAATTTTTATCTCTGTACAGTTTTCCAAGTTTTAGAAATTTTTACCAATGTCTGTATGAATTTTTTAAATAAGCATTTAATAGGTTAGTAATAGGTATCCTCTACTTTGCAGTCCAAGGTGAAATAATTAAGGAAAATGGAGAGAAAAACCTGGGAAATGACAACGACTTGGCACAGTCTGGATCAGATTCCTCAAGTTGCTCTCCAGAATCCCTCTGGGAAGAAGGCAAAGAAGTTATTCCAACTTTTTTTAGTACCATGAACACCAGGTACCCCCTCTATAATCACTAACACTTGTACACCAGTTTCTCTTTCGCAAAATCAGTCATAGTGGTCCTTTTAGGTGATGGTATATTCTAATAGAATAGAGAGTATCGTATATCAGGTATCTACTTTACTATTTACCATAAAGGTGGATGAGAAGGAATTGGATTATGAGTGTGTAATCTGAAAAAATTTAAACTTGCTTTGGTAGAGTATCTTTGGAAAATTATTTTAATGGACCATTTTATAATTACAGAAAAAGAAAAGAAATGGCTGTGGCATTTCCGTGAAATCAGACCATATGGTTAGCCCTGTAGAAGGCAGCTGTTTCTGAAACTGAACTGCAGAGAATGCTGATGTTGTATTTTCAATCTTTCCTTCTCTGTTATCACCAAATTGTTTAGCTTTAGTGACATTGAACTTCTGGAAGACAGTGGCATTCCCACAGAAGCATTCTTGGCATCATGTTATGCTGTGGTTCCAGTATTAGGTAAGATTTCTGTAGTTACCTTATTCATTGCCTTCTAGAATTTGTCTTCATTTAACATTGAACTCTCTACCAACAGCACTGAGTCATGACAGAATTAAGCTTATCTGAAACACATATTTTGTCCATAAGCCACATCACAGACTTCTCATGCTTATGTACACTAAATAGCACTGTATTTGGGGGGCCCTCTAAACAGCAAAATTAACAACAGAAAAATACCCTAACATGCAAAAAATGAAAGGATATTTGTTTATAATATGAGAACTGGAGAAATATCCTAGACTATATGTAAATTGAGACATGCTTTATTGAGACAAGCATTATTGCATACTCTTATTTCATGTGTAATTATGATCAAATATTTTAATGAAAAGAATTCTGCTTTCTGGAAAGCATTCATAAAAGTAAAAGTGAAAGTAGTTGAGGAATAGGACTTCAAATTTATTGGTACTATGAAAAAATATTTTACCAGTAATAAAATTTTTCAAAGAATAAAAAATATTACATATATAAATTTGCTTAAGCTCAAATTTACTTATGTAAAATCGGTAATACCAGGGATCGCTAATGTGTTGAAATTTACTGTATGACCCATTTAATCATGTGCCTTTCTAAATTGAGGTGTAACTTTCATGGAACGTAAGAACTATGATTCAGTCAGTTTTCATAAGTGCACCCAGCCTATGAATTCACATCCCTATCAAAATACAGAATATGTTCATCACTTCAGGACATTTTTCTCTGTGCCAGTTGGTACTCAGTGCATTCCCCACTCCAAGGTGATCATTTTATTGATTTCCATTGCCATAAGTTAGTTTTGCCTATTCTAAAACTTCATGTAAATGTACTCTTTTGCATCTGGCTTTCCTTGTTTAGTGTGTTTTTTGAGATTCATCTTTGTTGTACATATCAGTTGTTCTTTGCTTTGTAGTGCTAAGTAGGAGTCCTGTGAATGAATGTTGATCCTATTGATGGACATTTGGGTAGTTTGCATTATAAATGAAGTTGCTTTGAACATTTTTGTGTCTGGGCATATATTTTTATGTCTCTCAAGTAAATCTCTTGGACCAGAATTGCTGGTTAGTAAATTTAACTTTATAATAATTTGCCAGTTTATACAGTTGTTGCACAATTGTACATATCCAGCAGCAGCATATGAATATTATAGTTTCCGTACATCTTTACTAGCTTTGGTGATGTCAGTATTTCTGGGTTTTGCCTTTCTTGTGTTTAACAATATCTCATTGTGGCTTTAATTTGCATTCCCCTGATGACTAGTAATGTTGAATACTTTTTCATGTAATTATTGGCAATTGCTCTATCTTCTGTGAAGTTTCTGTTTGCATCTTTAACCCATTTTAAACAGTTGGTTATTTTTCTTATTGAGTTGCAAGAGTTCCTTGCATATTCTGAATAAAATTCTGTTGTAGACCTATACATTTTGAATCTTTTCCCTCAGTCTATGGCTTGCTGTTTTCTTTTTTATGGTATCTTTGAAAAGCAGAAGTTTTTAGTTTTGACAGAGTCCAACCTATTCTTTGTAGTTAATGGTTTCGGTGTCCTAAGAAACCTTTATTTACCACAACCAAAGGTTATAAAGATATTTTCTTGTATATTCTTCTAGATTCTTTAATTTCTACATTTATATCCATAATCCATCTTGGAATTACTTTTTGTACATGGTAGAAAGTAGGGAATTGAGTTTCAGTTTTTTTTTTCCTTATGATAATGTGGCTATTTAAAAATCATTCGGCAAAACCCATTATTTTCTCTTTAAACATTTCTCTGACACCTTAGTTGAAAACCAGTTTGCCTTATAAAATGGGTCTGTTAGCTGGGCACGGTGGTGCACGCCTGTAATCCCAGCAGCAATTAAAGTTTTTGGGAGGAAGATCTTTTAAATTTATTGTGAAGCATACACACACACACACACACACACACACACATACCTCCATTCACTTAAGTCATCTTTATTTTCTCTAGAAATGTTTTTTATAATTTTGTCTTTTATTAGGAATAAATGTTGGAATTTTATGCTTTAGATGCTATTGTAAAAATATTTTCTTTTATTTTCCAATTATTCATTGATAACATGTAGATAAATTGATTTTTGTATGCTTAAAATTTATTTTAATAATCACGAATGAACTAATTTTATCAAATGCTTTTCTGTAGTTGTAATCATTGTGTATTTTCCTTGTAATTTATTACTGTAGTGAATTACGTTGTTTAGATTAATTTAATTCTATTGATGTTTCTATCATCTTGCCATTTATTTTGTTTTCCTATCTGCTCTTTGTTCCTTTTCTACTCTTCCCTGATTTTTAGCCAGCGAATCAGTTTTTTGTTTTTTTTAGTACGCTATTTTATTTCCTTCTATTTTTTTAAGCTATCTGTCTTTTAAGTCAATCAAGTGGTTTTTTTGGGGGGAAACTCCATTCCTTTCTGACTTTTTACTTATATTCCTTTATTATACTATACTCTTTTATTATATCTATACTCCTATTTATAGTAAAAAATTATATTTGGTATACTTAAATAGTTAAAATCAGTAGATTTTACTTAGCAGAGTTAAATTTATTAAAAATACTTCCACCTTGAGCTGGGGATGTGGCTCAAGCAGTACCGCGCTTGCCTGGCATGCATGCGGCCCAGGTTCGATCCTCAGCACCACATACAAACAAAGATGTTGTGTCCGCCAATAACTAAAAAATAAAATATTAAAAATTCTTTCTCTCTCTCTCCCTCTCTCTTTAAAAAAAAAATAAATACTTCCACCTAACAGAAATAAACGTTCAAATCACATATGTAATTTTAAGTTTTCTATAAGGTGCATTAAAATAGTAAAGTAAAAGTTAATCCTAATAACATATTTTAAATATAGTATATCCAAAATATCATCTCAACATATAGTCAGTTAAAATAATCATTAATGAGATATGTTGTTTAATTTCTTCAGTACTACGTCTTTAAAATCTTGTATGTGTTTTATACTTACAGTATATTTCAATATGGATCAAGCCACATTGCTTATGCTAAATATTCACATATCTGGTAACTACCATATTAGACAGTACAATGCTAAGGATTTCAAATATGTTTTCTAAATTTATAAGATTATCTTCATCTCACCTTCCACTTAGGACCATGTTATAGTTATTCTACCTCATAGTAGTAAAATAAAAAAAGGTGATAACAATGTCAAGCTTTTTAGAAAATGATTTAGAAGCAAAAATTAAAGTTGTGGGAGAAAAGACCTTCTAAATTTATTGTTACCATAAAATATTTCCCATGAAAAATTTTAAAAAGATACTTTTCACTTGCAAAATTACTTTTTCAAACATGTTTTTATTCTTTCTTCCAGACAAACTTGGTCCTACAGTGTTTGCTCCTGTTAAGATGGATCTTGTTGGAAATATCAAGGTGAGTATACTGGCTGATATCTGAGAAAACTTGCAAACATTTTTAATACTTTTATGTTTGCTAATAATAAACCAACAAGTTACAAAGGTACTATAAGCCGGGCGTGGTGGCACACATCTGTAATCCCGGTGGCTTGGAAGACTGAGGCAGCCTCAGCAAAAGTAAAGCACTAAGCAATTCAGTAAGATCCTATCTCTAAATAAAATACAAAATGTTTGGGGTGGGGATGTGGTCAAGGGCCCTGACTTCAATCCACAGTACCTAAAAGAAAAAAAAGTTACTATAGCTCTTTAACAGAACAACTCTCTTTTCCCAGTTGGAATGCTTAGTAGGGGAATGACGAGTAAGCCTTTATTATGTACGACAAAGGAAGTTTTCAAACCTGGAGCGTGGATCAATGGAGAATTACTCTTATATCAATAATGACTCTGTGCTTTTTAGATTTAAACAATGACAGTTATATTTTTTCAAAAAGTTTATTAGTGAAAATAGCTATTAATGGTCTGATTCCCAACAGGCCCAACTTCCAGGTTCAGCTGTGGAAGCATAGCAACACACTTGATTGTTTTGAGCCTCCTCCTTCCCAGTAAAATGAGAGAGTTGTACACATTACTTCCAACTTTTAAAGTTTGAGTCCCTTTTAAAATGTAGATTGAATATTATCTTCTTGAATACAGTACCCAATACAAATCTGCGGTTCTCATCACAGATTGTGTGCTCTTTGAGGAAGCAGTGTAAGGAATTTCTGTAGATATACATTTCTTTACTATCATTTGGAGGGACTAGTTGCTTGAAATCTCATTCAAACAAATGATGATTTAGTTTTATAATCAAGATGAAAATGATTTACCAAACAGCTGTAAGGGAGGTTCTAAGGCAGGAAAAAGTATACTTCAGGAATAATACTTTAAAACTCTGGGACTGTTTAATTCCAGTATAAGCCTCATAGAATCTCAAACAGAAAAACAAACAAACCCACGTTGCTTTGAAAACATAAGGAAGGAGGTCTTTTATTTCTTAGAGCCTTCTTGCCAAATGTACAAATCTCAATAACTATACTGATTTGCTTGGTGACTTTAACATTATTAACTTAAATTATTTCCATTTTTTTCTCCAGAAAGTAAATCAGAAGTATATAACCAACAAGGAAGAATTTACTACCCTCCAGAAGATAGTGCTACATGAAGTGGAGGCGGATGTAGCTCAGGTTAGGAACTCAGCTACTGAAGCCCTCTTGTGGCTGAAGAGGTGAGGCAGTCAGGGTGGGGCAGCAGATAAATCTAGCTTGATTAAAATGTTAGCACCAAAAAATTGTTGTACAAAGGATACTACTTCAGAATAAAGACTCAAACCAAAATCTATAGCTTTTTTTTTAAAAGAGCTAATGAATAGAATGCCAGGTTTTTGTGTGCATACCTCTTGATGGTGATAAATATTATATTATAATAATATTAATAGTATATATAAGATAGGAATCTTTTTTAAAAATATTTTTAGTTGTAGATGAATACAATAATTTTATTTGTTTCTTTATTTTTTTATGTGGTCCTGAGGATCAAACCCAGTACCTCACACGTGTGAGGTAAGCTTTCTACCACTGAGCCACAACCCCAGCCCATAAGATAGAAATCTTATGGACAGGAAAGCCAACTCATCTCTCTTAGAGTTGTTGGTTTTCCAACTTTAGTGACATCAGAATCTCCTGGAGGGTTTGTTAGAAACACTGGACTCAGAACTAGAGTTTCTGATTCCCTAAGTCTGAGGTAGGGCCCAGAATTTGGATTTCTAATAGATCTCCAAGTGATGCCCAAACCATCAGTGCTGTGACTACACATTTTGAAGACCACTGCCTTAGGTTTTATCAGATGGGTTGAGGGGTCCAGAAAATCCTAAAGGGAAATGTCAGGGAAGAAACTCAGAAAGGATCACCATATGATTTGACCTGATTACTAAGCCCAAAATATTACTAAAGTAGAAGCTGGCGTCTGCCATTTCTTTATACTCATTCTATATAAGTGAACTAAAAAGATAATAATTATTCCTCTTTTTTTCGTTTTAGAGGTCTCAAATTTTTAAAAGGGTTTTTGACAGAAGTGAAAAATGGAGAAAAGGATATTCAGACAGCCCTGAGTAAGTGGTATTTACATTTTGATTAGTTGAACAGGCTTTGGAATTGAGACCCCATGTAGGAAGAGACAGGGTACAGGGAAAATTTGTGTTTTTGGGGATTTGATTTCTCTTTTCTTATTTCAGTATTATTCACTATTTGATTCCTATATGTGTAATTTTTAAAAGACCCATGAGACTTAGTAATTTAGTAATCTTGGTACTTAGTAATCTAGTTCTAACTTACTAAAAATCAGTATGCCCTAGGAAGCACTGAACTGATGGAAAGCCATTCCTTAGTCTTAATGGGAATCATGGGATTTGCTCTGGAGTGAGATTGAGGGCTGATTATCATCCTGCATTCCCATTTTGTAGTGGTAAAACTGAAATTGGGAGGAAGGAGACTTGATTGCAGTGACTGCAATAAGGTGTTTAATAACATTGGATAGGTGGGTTGGTGGATAGATTTATCTATCAGACCAATTTTGGAAAATGTTAGGATTTGGAAGCATCCTCACCATGTTCCTAGTGGAGTGGCTGACCTCTCACCTTGTCTTATAGATAATTTTTCCAGCATGGGCCTTGAAGCATGTGGGGGGAGGGATGAGATTGTATATTATTTCTAAGCCCCATATTATCATAATGTACACAGCCAAGCACTAAGTAGCTATGATTATAAATGGTGAAATGAATTAACTGATGCTTCTGGAGGGCTGGAGAGTCAAGTTCTGACATTTCTCAGTTTTACAGATATCTTCTACCACCCTTTGTTAATCCTCCTCTGGGCTACAAGTCTAGGATTCTGCCCTGCTTTGATTTCCCCAGGCCATACCATCTAGAAATGCTGGTGTGTCCTGAAACAATCAGTGCTGACATCTCTATAGCAGATATCTTAATCATCCCATAAATCTGTTTTTGCACAGTAGGGAACCAGAAGCATTAATGATTAAAATACTTGCTTCAGGTCCCCAGAAAGGTCTAAAGCAAGTTCACTTTGGGATCCTTGCCTTAAAAGTGCCAAAGGTTTCTCCTACAAAGGGTCTTTACCCATTCCTAGACTACCTGCATATTTGAGTTCCCCATTTATCCCTTAAATAAAAATATCCCTTAGGATATTTTAATATCCCAATTTCTTGCTGTTAGTGTATGGAGATAAAGGACCCCTAAACTACCATCTATAATGTGTACATTATATTCAGGTTCACATCAAAGAAGGTTTTCTTGCTTAAAATCATGTCTTTGATTTTAATATCCCAAATTTCTTGCTGCTTGTCAGTGTATGGAGATAAAGGGCCCCTAACCTACCATCTTCCTGCCCCTTCAGATACAGGCAAATAAGCTTTGTACAAACATGTTTTTTATGAAATGTACTCATACAATAGCTATTTATACCTCATAGGCTCCTTGGATATTTTTTTCCCCAAGATAATGGCTTTTCTTATTTTAAAGTCAAAGCCTTTACAAGTGGAACTGATAATTTTGTCTAAAATGAGGCAAATTATTATTTTTTTAATTCTAAAATTGATTATTGTGGTAAAAGTACTGTTAAAGACTACCAAATATAACTACTACACTAAGTTCTACATAAATATTTAATCTTCCAAATGACTGTCCCTTTACAGTGAATAAACTGAGGTTTTTGAAAAGTAAGTAAATTTCTTTGGGTTTCTAAATCTAGATCACTGGTCCACAAGCTGGTCCACGAACTGTAGAGCATCTTCATCACTTTGAAACTTACTAGAAATTCAGACCATCAGTCTCTACTCTACCTGCTGAATCAGAAACTTCAGGGTGGGGCCTAGTAGCCATGTGTTAAGAAGTCATCCAGGATGATTCTAATGCATGCCAAAGTTTGAGACCTACTCAGCAAGACAGGCCATTGAAGTTCACCTGCCACTTGGCTACATCTTGATTATTTGGGGATTTTATTTTTTCTGCATCTGAGAGATTATTCATGAGCAGGACTTAAAGTGCTAAAGTTAGTCACAGCATCAGTCAATTTTGCCTCCTTTTCATCATAATTAGATAGCTTTTCAATAAAACACTGCTTAGGAAAGGTTTTGAGGTAAATGCTCATAAAACTTGTAGTCTTTGTGGCCTTAGAGATGGGAGATGATATGTCAAGGTTTTCAATGATACAATGGAAACCTTAGTGTCTAACCTTTCTGGAAAAGTCATCTGTTCTTATTGTATTGCTGGAGTGCTGTGACCTGGAATAGTTCCCAGCACCTGAAAGGATGCCTTAGGCTTACATAGCTTCTTTATACACTTGAATCCCCATTGTGGTGATCAGAGTTAAACCTTTGGGTGATCTCTTGCCAACAGTTTCTCTATATCCTTAACACCCCATGCCATTCACTAGACATCTTTTTAAGGAAGGAGTTGAGTCCACAAGGCAGATATGTTTAATAGTCTGCCCTATGACTGAGCCTCTTCATTTGCAGATGACACACATCAAAAAGAGGTTTTGAAAAGCATCCTTGTAAGTGGAAGGAGGAAGAGTTGCTCTGGCATTTCATGCACCATTGTACTAAATGTTATGTGCTCCGCACTCTTCATTCAGCGGGACAGCATATTGCCATGTCTGTCACCTCAGAATGATTCCATAAATGTCAAGTAAAAATTAATCCAACCAATATCTCTAGCACAGAATAGGAAAAAATTTGAAAGGATGCTCAGTCATGTATTTAATTTGAAAGGCTTCCATAGACAAGGAGAACTAAGCAAAAGAAAGAACTCACAATCAGATAATGAACATCAAAACGTAACTTGACTCATTATTCCAAAAATACTAAGGAACATGATTTAAGTCATGTCCTCTCCAGAACCACTCACAGCATGTGCCTGAACTGATAAGATTGGCTTAATGCACATGTTTTTCTCTTGACAGTGTCTGAAGTTAACAAAAAGGCATCTCTGGACATTCGTTTTACATCTCTTCACTGATTGTTGAGTTGTTTCTCCATAAAACTCATTTCACCTGAAGCTTAGTCACTATAAAGAATTTATAGGGTACTTTCTTAGTACCACTTTTTAAAATTACAGACATTTAACAAATATCTACCACTTTACCTAGTATATTATTCATGGTACCACCTTTTGATCCCACTACTTACCTTGTTTTCAAAAGAAGATCATCTTAAATTTGGTGTTTATCATTATGTAATGCTTATTTTTATGTAAGTGTTCATAAACAGTATCTAGTATTGGGATCTGAGTTTTAAGCTCATTTACATGGCGTCATGTTATACCCATTATTCCTTTATCATTCAGTACTAATTTTCAGATTTATCTACCCTATGCTTGTAGTCCTGACTCATTCATTTTTTTCTGCTCTCTGACCTTCCATTTTATGAATACACCACAGTTTTTAAAAACAAATATACGGCAGATGGACACTTAAGTTGGTACCAGATTTTCATGATTGCAAACAATGCTACAGTTTAGATATTCCTTATGTATGTTCTTGGTCATATAGCAAATCATATCTGCCCAGCATAGTGGGGTATGCTCATTACTAAGGGTGTCTGACGGGGTTGCAGTTCTGGCTTTCTGCAGACCTGTAATTCATTGAGCTTTACTGGCTGAGAAGCTGTGCTGCTAGAGCAGTGGTTTTCAAACTTGGCAGTATATTAGCATCATGAAAGGTACTTTAAAACAAAAATTGCTGCCAGGCATGCTGACACACACCTGTAATCCCAGCTACTTGGATGGCTGACACACGAAGATTGCAAGTTCTAGGCCAGCCTGGGCAACTAGTGAGACTATCTCAAAAAAAAAAAAAAATTTTTTTTAAGTCTGGGATGTAGCTCAGTGGTAGAGCACTTGCCTAGAACATGTGAGGTCCTGAGTTCAATTCCCAGTACTAAAAATAAAAAAATACAGATTGCTCCATATATTTGGGTTGAGGTGTAATACTGCATTTCTAACAAATTCCTAGTGATCCTGAGGTTGTTGGTGTGGGGACCACACTCTGAGAGCTGCTGCTCCGGTATATAGTAGAATTGAAATGGCTGAACCACATAGCTAGATACTCTCATATTGATCACCGGAGTTTGTCATTACTGGCAGAGTAGTCAAGAGTTCCCATGTTCTTACTAACATTTGTCATTGTCAAACTTTTAATTTGTGCCTGATGGTTATAAAATTATAGAATATCACCAGAGTTTGTGTTCTTAGATTACTAGTAAGGTTGAGCAGCCTTTCATATCTTCACTGGCAGTTTGATTTCCTCTGCAGTGAATTGCCTATTCATATACTTCGGCCTTTTTCTGTTAAGTTTTCTTTTCCCCATGGAAGTTTGTTATATTTTCTGGATATTGGTCTTTTCAGCTATGAGTTATGTCTTCTGGCCATCTGTGGCATTCCTTTTCTCTTTATTTATGATGTATTTTGGTATACAGAAGTTTGGGATTTTATGTAATCCAACATGTAATTGTTTTCTTTTATGATTTGCATTTTTATATCTTGTGTAAGAAATTTCCTTTCTTCCTTAAGGTCACAAGATGTTCTCTGATACTCAAAAAGTTTTGCAGCTTTGCTTTTCATCTTCCTGGAATTTGTTTTGAGAATGACATAAGATAGATATATAATTTGATAATTCCTCATCAGTAATTCAGTTGTCTTGGCATTCATCATTTATTCCATCACCCCCTTTTTCCCCATTAGTATATATTATCATCCGTGTTATGCAGGTGGATCTGTTCTAGACTCTGTATTCTGACACATTTTCTGTTCATCCTTGTTTTTTTGAAAGAAGATAAGAGTTCTCACAAGGCAAATGTTCATACTGTTTTAATTGAGCAATTGGATTTATCTGTGTAGTAGTTTTAGGACTCAGGCAGGTTTACTTCTCCAGTGCCTATCTGTTTCTACAGTCTCCTGGCATACTTGTCTGCCTGCTTTCAAACCTCTCCTACTTCCTGATTTTTGCCTAAGGATGGTCTAGTTTAGCACATTTGCAGAGCTGAGATGATTGTTATTTCCTGGGTTCAAAATAACTCTACCCATCTGGCTTTAGTTATCCACTTCCAGGCTCCTCTTCTTAAGACTTGGGTTTGTATTTCTCCTTTGACTTCCATACAACCCTATGTAACTTTACCAGTTATAGATTTACAATAGAAAAGCACTCTCCTATGTACAATTCTTAGACAAAAGTAGTTGTCTACTCAGATTAAATAATGAAAGATTGTTCTCACTTAGAATACTAAAGATTAAAAGATAAAAGATTTAGGCATAGTTCATAAATACCTCAAAAGATGTTTCTGAGTTAATGGTAAAGAAATCAGATCTTTGCTGTTTCCATGACCAGAATAAGGTGCTCTGGGAAAGGCATCTTTAATTTTCATTATTTCTTTTCACAAAGGATAAACATTAGTTTTTTGAGAGACTTGTTTGATATTACACAAATGCCCAAGTTCTCATTGCTTTTAGCTTTGTGATCTTGGGCAAGATACTGCCTTTCTTGGTCTTTTGTTTTTTCTTTTGTGAAAGAAAGAGAATTGGGCAAAGGTGATTGTCGAGTCTTCCTCCTCAGATATTTTGATTCCGTCTTTGGGGAACTGACACATCTCTAAGAATTGGGAGGAAGGTATTATTTATGTCTTTCAGAGGCCAAAAATAATCTCAAATTATAGAACATGCATTATGATAATGAAGGGAATTACAGTGAAGATTAATGTATTTCATTATCTAATCTTTTAAAGGTAACCAAAATAGGTCAGGCTTAGACCTCATCTTATTTTAATGCAGCCTCATGTGACAGGGATATTTGTAGCCCTAGATGCCAGCTAACTACTTTGGGCATTTTTTAAAAAATGAGTTTTAGTTCATTTGTTGATTTTACATTTCAGTAGTGGTCTAAAATGTAATTGTGTTTTATGTAAATTCAAATTATGTAAAATTAAAATAGGATATACCTGACATATTAATAAAGCCTTATCCAAATTTTTAAAGTAAAAGTTAACTGGAATTGCATAATTTTAAGCCTGCACAGCTTGAGTAAACTAAAGTATATAAGCTGTGGCCACATGGCAGTACCATTTTAGCCAGTAAAACACAAATATCTGACTTCCTTTAACAGTGTCCTGTGAACTACATTGCATTTCATTGCTTAGAAACTTGTACTTGTAGTATTTGTTTTTCTATGATTTTGACATCTATTCTTGTTATAATTGAAAATATTTTATAGCCTATTATAATCTCACCTGTACACTTATTAAGTCATGGTAGTATTTGTGATAATGCTAAAACTAACACATGAAAATAAATAAGTTTAGAAAAGAGAATTTAGATGTGATAGGGTAAAACATAAAGAACAAGGTCAGACAGCCCCCATGATACACTGTACTAATAATTTAGAAATGAACATTCTATAAACTGTTGAAGAAAATAATCAGAAGAAAGATGGAGCATTAAAATAAAAATGGATACCTCTTGAGAATGAATTCATTCCTGTGGGGAAATAAGTTTTGAATTTTGCACTCATCAAATTATTAAATCTTCAGGAAAACAGCCTTTGTATAGAATGCAGCCATCTTGTTCCTGGGATTCTCTCTCTCTCTCTCTTTTTTTTTTTTTTTTTAAATAAAATTATATTATATTCCAGTTTTTAAGTCTCATTTTGGGCAAAAATAGTAGGTTGTTTTCTTTAAAGTATGAAATATTAATGACTTATTAATAGATCTCACCAGTTACTTTTGTAACTAACTTAATAACTTCAAGCCATTCTTCCTATACCATTCTTGTTTGCTTGATTTTTGTTGTTGTTGTTGTTGGTGGTGGTGGTAATGGTGGTGGTGGTGAGATAGGGTCTCATTGTGCTGCCCAGGCTGGCTCAAGTGAACTTCCTTGAGTAGCTTGGACTACAGGTGCACACTACCACACCTAGCTTTTCCATAACATTTTAAAAGGTTTCTACCTTTAGTACTATATGCAGGGTTTTAGAGGCAAACATTTGAAATTCCAAAATAGAATATTAGAATTAAAAAGAACCTTAGAGATCATTCTGTAAAAGGGGAAGCAAATGTTTACAAAGGGCAGCTAAGGGATTGAACTATACTTAGTTTCAATATCCTTTCTTCCTTCCTTATTTCTTTGTAGGTATTAAACTTTTCCCACTATAATAAACTAAAAATTAAGGTATATTGACCCAGGATAAGAATGGAAGTATCTGTCTTTCTTAAAAAAAAAAAAAAATGTGAATTTAGAGAGGAAAAAGGAAAAGAAATGTGGGAGGTTGGGTGAATCTCATGATAATTAAAGGGAGATCAGTAGAATAGAGGAAAGGGACCAGAAGGAGGAAGGAGGGGAGGATTGGCCAAATTATATTATTACATTGTATGCATGTATGAATATGTAACAACAAATTCTACCATTATGTACAACTATAATACACCAATAAAATAATGTGGAAAAAAATTAAACAAATCCATGTGGGTTTTTCCCTATGTATAAAACTTTTAGGATACAAAAATCTTATGATCAGATTTTTTTCAGTTCTTAATACCAATAGGACTATGATATATCATGCATTAAAAAGCACATTATACAAATCACATCAAATTCCAATGCAGACATTCCTTACTGAGTTGTTTTTCTCTTCAAGATAATGCATATGGTAAAACATTACGGCAACACCACGGCTGGGTAGTCCGAGGGGTTTTTGCGGTAAGTGATCGTTACCTGCTAATGTTCATATGGTCAGAAGTAAAATATGTATTTTTTGTGTGTGGTATTTTTGTTTGCTTTATTTTTGAGAATAATAAGAAATTTTGCTTATTTAAGTTTATAAGCCTTTGGTTTGCAGAAACGTCAGCAATAAAATGTGTCTAGAATACCAAAGACACTTAAAAATTGGAATTAAAAAAAAAGTTGTTTTACCCTATACAATTCCAATGACCTTGTGGAGATTTGCCTTCAAAGTGGTTGCCTTTCTGGTAATCTAGTAAAAAGCTTCAGTATTCATGCAGCGAGAGGTAGATAGGATACAGCAATCCAATATTCTTACTGTTGACCTGCAATGATGCATTTAAGCTAATAGCTCCCTCTGCTGCTCAGTGTATTCAATCCTGTTAATTCTCAGATCTTGGTTGACTTACCCCCTCTTCCCTCCCCAAGTTAAATTTATTTTTGAATTTTAACTTTAGTGTGCCAACAGGTAGGACTAGACATATCTTTTTTTTAATTTATTTTTTAGTTGTAGTTGAACACAATACCTTTATTTTATTTACTTATTTTAATGTGGTGCTGAGGATCGAATCCAGGGCCTCACACATGGTAGGCAAGTGCTCAACCACTGAGCCACAACCCCAGCCCTAGACATATCTTTTTACACGGTATTTATTGTGAAGATGTTATTTTTCATATGTCTGGCTTCTGTTGTCCACCTTCTTCCTTCCCAGCATTTTTAACTAGAAAGAACACAAACCTAAGAATCATAGTACCCTGGATAAACCTCTTAGCAGGAGTAGATAGCCCCTTCATGTTAACGATAATGCTTATTCTTCTTATCTGAGAGAAGGGTCAGTCTTAGTCAAATGTAGCCATGAAAAGGCAGAGTCATGTGGTCATACACTAGAAAACTTAGTAGAATGTGAGTATTCTGTGGAAAGTTGGGTGGGTGAAATATCCTTATAGATGGTGTCTTTTACTAATTTAGAGGATCATTTGCCCAAGATAAGAACTGTTTAGGTCATGATTTATTCCTCCCACTTTTTAAAAAAATTCATTTTCTTAGTTATAGATAGACAAAATACCTTTGTGGTGCTGAGGATTGAACCCAGTGCCTAACACTTGCTAAGCAAGCCCTCCACCACTGAGCTACAACACCAACCCCCACCCCCCGCTTTCTTTGGCAAAGAAGTAGAAAGAATGAACAGTGCAAGAAATTAAGTATTAATGGAAATGAGATATTTTTGAAAGCATGGAGATGCTAGCTCCATTTCCTGTCCCTCACTGAAATAGATACCAGACCAGTTGCAACTTCAAACTGCCCACACTTACCTTCAGTGCATGTTTGATAATCAAAATAATAGCTACTCTGTAGCTATTGGATGCCTATTGTCTACAAGCAATGTGCCAGTACTTTCACTTTCATGTACATTATCTTTATTAATCCTGATTAACTCCTACTATTTTATAAATTTAGAACAATTAATTCTAATACCAAAGTGGACTGTGGGAGAGCCTATGTCTAAACCTAGGTCTGCTATCTCCAAGGCTAGTGCTCATCCCCATCACAGCCCTCTGCAGGGAAGACCATATAATTGAGAAACTGTACGGTCCTGACTCCTGAGTTCCCTTAGTGAGATGATTAAATGTTTACAAGAAACAAATGTTGGGTCTTTGGTGTGTTTTTTGTTTGTTTTGTTTTGTTTCAGTATAAAAGGCAAAATTTAATCCTGAAGTATTGATGATTCAAGAGATGTTGCCAATAAGAAGAAGGCATCTATAGTTGAAAATGTATCATTAGCATGAGTCCTTAAAAGTTCTTTTTAACTTATACTTTTTCAAATTTATACTCAAAAAATTTTAGAAGTCATGGAAAAATAGAAAGGGAAAATTTTAAATGTCCTATATTCCATTTTTAAGATTTTTAGGTTTTTTACCTTCTTAACTTTTATTTTCATATACTTTTATTTATATATTCTTTTAAATATTGATCTATTTCATTTATGTACTTATTTAGATAATATATTTTATTTATAATTCTATTTATATTATGTACTTATTTAGATAATATATTCTATTTATATGTATAAATTATTATACATATGCTACATATATCTACAAGTATGTAGCATATGTATAATTTATGTACCTTTCTCCCCACTTAGTAGATTGTCATGACTATTTTTAAATGCCATAAAAGTCTGAGAAAGGCACTATTTTTAATGACCATGTAAGTATACGAAGTATACTAGTTTATTTGCCCAATGCTCTGTGTTAGAAACTTAAGCTACTTCTGAGTTTCTTCTTAGATACAAAGCATTTGTTCACATATAATTTTGGCTAAAACCCTTGTTTCCTTAAAGTAAGTCCCTCAAAGAGCTTCCGTGTCTAATATCAAGATCTGCAACCACAACTTAGGGTTTTGAGCATTTCCCATACACTTAATGTTGTTTTAAGTACTTAAGAGACATAGACTATATGCTATAGACTGAGAATCCAGAGACAGAGGGAGATAATATGCACACAGTTACAGAAGGCTTTTAAAGTTACAGGTTTGTAAGAAAATAGATTATATTGAGTATTTGGAAACAGCCTTATCAATAGAGGAATTAAATCCATAGTTTGATTGCCCTTTCAGACTACCATTATTTCTACGACATCCCTATTTTGAAGGTTTATTGAACTTTATAACATGCTAATTAACATTGCTAAATTTATCCTAACTGATCTCAGTTGCCCAAGGAAATGTCTTTTCCATTCAAGGAATTTGAGTCATTAACCAGCCTAATAGTGAACTCTTATTTTCAAACAATTAGTCTCCTAACTAATGCCCACCCAGGCTCTGCTTCCAGCTTGTTCACTAACCAGCTATCATTTGATCTTTTTTGTTTCCTCTTCAGCCAGACAAGAAAAGTGAACTCCAGCATTAATTCTGCCTTTCCTTTTTAGAGTGCTGGTTTGTCTGGGTATAGAAGTCTAGATTAATAATCATTCTCCCTAAGAACTTGGAAGGCATTACTCTACTGCCCTCCAGCTTCCAGTGTTACTATTAGAAAATTTGATGTCATTCCTGTTCCATTATATATAAACAATTATTTGTTCCCTTAGAGTGGTTTCAGAATCTTTTCTTTGTCCTCACACCTTAAAATCTCATGATATGCTTTTTTTCTTCATCATTCATCATGCTCCGAACTTAGGATTTTTAAATCAGAAGACTCCTGTCCTTCAGTTCTGGGATATTTTCTCAGATTGTGTTTTTTTGTTTGTTTGTTTGTTTTTTAAAGAGAGAGAGAGAATTTTTTAATATTTATTTTTTAGTTACCGGCGGACACAACATCTTTGTTTGTATGTGGTGCTGAGGATCGAACCTGGACCGCACACATGCCAGGCGAGCGTGCTACCGCTTGAGCCACATCCCCAGCTCTCAGATTGTGTTTTTAGAGAACAGTCTTCTCTTTATTTTCTGTTCTTTCTCCTGTATTCATACTATTATCCAAATATTTATTATGTGCTAGGCCATCAGCCACACACTTTCTATCTATCCCATTGATCCTTAATATAAAGAAAGTGGTATTAACCTTCTACAAATGAGAAAAGTGAGGTTCTAGGAGTTGAGCATTTTTCTTAATTCCTCAAGCAAATATGTGAAAGCTTTTACATTTAAGTTCAGGTCAGCCTCACGCAGGCTTGTGCTTAACCACTGCATGATTGTGCCAGTCACTCTCTTCCTGCAGACATGAGGAGGATCCAATCTCTAAGCCTTCCAAAGTATAAGGAAGATCAGGAGAGTAACTATAGTACAATAATCACGAATCTCTATTCATCTCAGGAGAGCCAACCTAATGGATAGCAGAAAGCAAATTTTAGCAAGCTTAGGAAATGAACTGCAAAGAGAGGGAGAGGAGAATAAAGAGCCTGGGAAATATTTCATTAGGAAGTGGCATGGAGTGGTGGTGTGTGGTTGCAAAGCACAGAAATGATCCTAAATTCAGATCCTGGCCCAGGCACTCATTAGCCATTTGATGTTCATCTGTAGAATGGGAACATAAACCATGCAGAGTTCTTATAGATATTAACTGGAATAAAATATGTTAAAGCATCAGTACATAAACAAACTTAGACTCCCTCCTTTTTAGAAAATATTCAGAGTGGCAAAGAAAATTTTCCATGTGGGAGGAAATAGGAAATGTTCAAAGAAATGTATATGGATGTGAGATATAAACAGGAGAGTGAGGTACCCTGGAAAACTAGACATGGGAACAGACACATACAGCAACATATATACAGGTCAGTTTTGAGAATTCAGGGGGGAATGGTCTGGATCACACTGTGGGCAAGAAGGGAACTTTTCTCGAACTTCTGTCTCTTCACATTCCCTGACTTGGTGATATTATTCATCATGAGGATTGCCTGAGTACGTATTTGCCTCTTCTAGCCTTAAAGTTATTTGAATTGGCATTTGCAACATAATTTTAGAGAACTCATGAATTTGAAGGATGTTCATATTTCTTTACCCGTGCTGTCCTCAGCTCTTTGTACATGTGTGTGCATGCATGTAAGTGCGTAAGTGTATGAGAGACAGTTCCAATGCAGATTCTCACAGGTGATTCTTTTTCAGTTAGCTCTGAGGGCAGCTCCATCCTATGAAGATTTTGTAGCTGCTTTAACCATAAAGGAAGGTGACCACCAGAAAGAAGCTTTCAGTATTGGAATGCAGAGGGACCTCAGCCTTTACCTCCCTGCCATGGAAAAGCAGTTGGCCATACTGGACACTTTATATGAGGTACATGGGCTGGAGTCTGATGAAGTGGTGTGACGGCTGCAGGACATCGCCTCCTAACTTCAGGGAATAAAGTTTGCTAAAGAGTTGTGTTGCCCTACTTAATTTCCAGCAACAGCTTCAATCCTCTCCAAACCCTTTCCTGGCGGGGGATGGACAGGAGGAGGCAAAACCCAGTGCTTTTATATATAATTTTTTAAAATAAGTGTTTTGTGTGTTTAAAAATCAAGGTGCTATATATTTCAGTTCAACGGACCTACTGGAAACCAAATCATAGCTGTTACAGACTTGAACGGCAAGTAATAAGAGCAGATTTCACAAATGAGTTTGTTGGCATTGTTTTGTTTTAGATTTTAGTTTTAAAGGGATATTCAAACCTAAGCTATAAATGAGCAAATTCTGTATCAAGGATAAGTCAGTTAATGTTTAAATTTCTTAGAATGAGCACTTGGAGTGTAAGCCCCTTAGTTGAAGCAATTACAATGTAGAATTTGCTATTTGTGGATGTTCTTCAAAGAAATCTGTGAGAAGAGATTTAGTCATTGCTGAGACCATGAGATTGTTGGATGACAACATGGACTGCCATCCCCATTGATAGGTAGAAGACTATGGCTTCATGAAATGAGTGGCGTGCCCTAACCCCACTCTAGAGGACAGTAGTAGTGGTGGGCCAGGTCATTTGAAATGATACCTACCTAGTGCCTCCTCTTAGCCAGCCTATTTCCTATGCATAGTAAAATTTAGAGGTAAAGGGGTCTGCTTAAGGTACCCTCTTAAGTAGAGGAGCCAGGTGATTTCAAAGTGGACCACCTCTGTATCAAAGTCAAACGGAGTGCTTATTCAAAGAACATATTCCCAAAATACCTGGAGAACCCAAATCTGGGGTTGGGACTGAGGAATCTGCATTTGGACTAACTTCCCAAGTGATTCTTATGCACACAAAGTTGAAGAACCATTCAATTAAATTCGAATTTTCATAATTCCCAGTGTTTTTCAAGAACTAAATATGTTCTTTGAAAAAGACCCATAATTTAAGTAAAATAATTAAATGGAGATCAGGTTTATTCAGCAGCAGTCTTAATTGAACCAGCCTCAGCATCCAACTTGGTTTAACATTCAGGGGCTATGGCTCTAGAATCTTCTCCCTCATCAAGCTCAGCTTAATAACCAAGAGTACAGAGCTAAGTGCAGCTGCTTATCAATCTCAAAAGCTTTGGATGATGTCAGAATTCATAGATGGAACTTGAGAATTTCATAAAACAATCTTGGGCAGGCATTCTTCTACAAAGTATGATTCCCCAAACTGGGGCCCTCATCTCCCAGTGGTAGGCCAGTCTGCTTGGAGTGTGCAAAGGAGAGAAGCCATGAGTGCCTTCCCCATCAGAGGCTACTTCCTTCTGGCAACAGAAGGGGAAGTCCCAGCATAAGGTAGTTCCCATGGTAGAAGTGAGTTCCTTTGAGGGATGTACGTGAATGGAGCAGCTATGGATGATGCTGTTCTTGATAGAGACCCCTAGTGCAGGGAAATCATCTCCTTAGAAAACTTCAGTAGGGAGGGTACTGATTTTGTTTGTTTGTTCATTTAGTTAGCTGAATTAATGAAGCAAGTAGGGTTTGGTGTTAGGCTGAGATAGGAGGATCACTTGTCCAGGAGTTGAAGGCCAGCCTGAGCAACATAGCAAGACCCCACCAAGAAAAATTAGATCATATTTTTAAAAAATGAGCAGGTATTTCATCTACATAAGAACTTCTGTAAAGTAGTTAAATTTAGAAAAAAACAGCTTCATATGTTTTTAAGGCCAGGGAGGAAAAGGGTGATAAAATTATATTGATTGTATTATATTTTAGCATTTGCTCTTAGTAGCTGCTAAGTTGTGTATGTTATTTTCCTTCACTTCTGTGAGTATTTTATATGAATCTCATTCTCTGGCTGGTATGAATGAGAGGGTGGGCTTAGGGGACAATTTACACTTCTTGTGCTTGAAGTCACCTCCCAAAAGGGAAAAAGAAAAAGCAGTCAGACTTTGCTTATACTCTGAGGAAAGATACTTTAGGCACTGTGCCATTAATAGGAGATGGTTACCAGGAAATTATTCATGTTAAGAAGTATGACTGTACTAAGCAACTGCTGGTGCTCCTCATCACCTCAGGTGAACTCTTATAGTCTCTTGGAGAAGAGGTGGGCACTTTGAAAATAATCTCAGGTTGCTGTCATGGCTCTGAATGCACACAAAAGGAAAGCTGCTATTTCATATTTTTATAGGTACTGTATAGGTGTTTATGACTCAATTTTTGGAGGAAGAGGAGTTTAGTATTATCTAGGATCATTGGGAACCCAAATCAGATAGAATAGCTTGCATCCCTTTCAGTTTCCAAACACTCTTTTTTCACCTGTTCGTCACTGAAACATTAAGTTTGCCTAAGATGTGCAAAACTGAGGATTCTTATGTAAAACAGTATTTTATTTTTTTGGTAAATCTTATACCAAACAACAAATGCAGCTTGACCTGAACCCTAGCAAAATTGGAGTTTCCTCCTGAATCTGTGATATTTGTTTCTTCATTTTAGTTAAAGATATAATTTATGCTTATTTGCAGTTATTTTATAAGAAGGAGACAATGAAAAAAGATACTTACAGCTTTCTCCCATGGTACAGCAAAAGTTCTGGAACACCTAAGCTTTCTTTGACCTTGATAGTGAGAGATGCAAAGTCTAGTATGTTTGGTGACAGAGTAGTCATTTTTTCATTGCTCAAAACACTTTTAGGATTCCTATTCTAGCATAACCTTTAGAGAGAACCTGAAGAAAAAGGAGGTATGTCTTACTAGATATTAGCAGAAGCAAATAAGCAGCACTGCTGACCCCTTATGAGCAATTCACACACTCAATTTCATCTAGCGTCACTTGTGGAAACCAGCCTTTGCCCTCGCCACATATCAGTGTGTGTTTGTTGTATTGAACAAAGACCTTTCAATGATGGCAAGTCTTATCCTTTGAAAGTAAATCTGATTCATTACAGCTAATACTGGTGAAAAATGGTAAATTGGAGGGATATCTTTCAGGGTTGAAACCGACTTTTAACTATAAGAAGGAAATGATTTGTGTGTGTGTGTGTGAGTTCTAGCTCCAGCTTTGAAGGAAGTTTCACAAGGAGGTTCTAAGAATGCTGAACCCCTAGGCCCCAGGGAATGGATTTGGGGAATTCACTGGTTTATTAAGTAGTGGCTTAACATACCTTCTCATTATTATTTGTGTGTCATTCTGAAAATGAAAGTTTCCCCTACTAATGTCATTATTCTATGATGGAGACATCTGAACTTCACAGTTCAGCCTTGTGACTTTTCTTTCTTCTTTGCTACTAAAAATCCTCATCAGTGCTCCCATTAACACACCAAATCTATTCCCACTTCTAGTTGTTGGGCCAGTAGCAGTTTCTAGCCTAGGGAGGCATTTGGTACTCAGCCAGACCATAAGAGATTTGGGCAGAACTCCTGTTTACAGCTGTAGGGCAGCTAATGCCATAATGTGTAACACCTGAAAGGCATGCTGGTATCGGGTAGTGCCACTGGGGAAGTTTGCATCTTTTGATTATTCCAAAAACATTACCAGAAAGTTAATGCTTCATATTTTCAGAATAGTGTTTTTAATTGAGAAAATATGTGGTTGGGACCAGTAAATAAAGTACACTTCATTAACTCTGAGGAAAAGAGCCAAAGTAAGAAGTTTTTATAAGCCAGGCACATGTACGCTTGTAATCCTAGCTGCTCAGGAGGCTGAGGCAGGAGAATGATGAATTCAAGGCCAGTATGGGCAACTGAGCAAGACCCTGTCTCAAAATATAAAGGGCTGGGTATTCAGCTTAGTGGTAGAACAGTTGCCTAGCATGGGTGAGGCCTTTGGTTCAATCCCCAGTACTTAAAAAAACATTTAAATAAAGGAAAGAATTTGATTATGAAAATTACATGTGAAGAAATGTCAGATAAAGCAATAGAGTCAGAGGGTCCCAAACAAGATGATGTGAGGCATTTTGGAAATTTTCTGAAGGAATTTTTTTCTTTAATTTTTTCCCTATTAAACTACCATGTCAGACTGGAACTTGGTTACATAATGGTGCATTTCTGAATTATTGATTAAAATCAGTTGCTTCTGATTTTAGTCATAGGTTTTACAACTGTTCAGTTCCACTACCCTCACATTTCATTTCTTTTAATTACCAACTTTTTTTAAATTTGAAAGTGTTTAGATGTAGAATTTTTAAGTAAATTTTAAGCCATTGTTGTTAGGTGAGCTAATGTGTTTGGTCTTAGAGGACCTGACTTTAGATGCTTTGTGATATTCTATAGTCTGCACACTATTCAGTGTGTATAGCAAAACCTTTGTCCCTGTGAACTGCATATAGAATGTTTTATTTAGAAATACATTCTACTTCTATATGACCCTTTGTAATCTGCAGTTGTTTACTCAGGGGTTTCATAGTAGTGACAATATATTCACTTGCTGTCTAATGGTATTTTTAAGACTGTTTATCTAGTACAAGGTCATTATGGGTCCTATCAGCAATTCTGTAAACATACTGTTTACTAGACCTTCCCTGTAAATGTCCCCGGTTCCCATTCTGTGTCAGCCAGTAGTCCTGTGGACAGTGACCATTTGCATGATTTCTTGTTGCATTGCTGCATTCAGGCATTCCAGGGCATGATGAAACAGTCATTGATGGTGCCTCTCTGGTACAGTTGACGCATGCATTGATCTCTTTCTTCCATTGTTTTTACATAGCCTTTAATTAAAAGGAAAAGACATACCACTACTCTGCAATGCAAAAGTTTTCAAATTTCTTTGCATACCGTTATGAATCACTTCTCTTTCAGACTGAAAAATGTTTTCATCTAAGCTGTGTGGGAACATAAGAACAATATCCTGCTTGTTTTAAATGTTTTGTATATTTTAAAGTGTGGTCAGTATTTTCTCCCTTTACCTTACAAACAGACCACCCCGGGGTGGTC